TTTTTTTTCTTGTAGCTCCACTTATCTTTGATTTGTTTTTTCTTTTCTTTTAAATTTCAAGGGCTCCTCCACTCTGGGGAGCTATGAGGCATTTGCATCAGAAAATTCCTGAAGTTGCAACAAGGAAATCTCAGATGTATGGCTACCTCTTAGAACAAGAGAAGTAAGGGCCTTTCTTTCTTTATCCATGTCTATGATGATCTGAGTTCATAGGATTTATTTCAATTTTCATATCCTGGAGATGTTATATATTCCGTAACTAAATTAAAGATGGAAAACTCAAAATTACTAAGCTTGTAATGACGCAGGGCTCTCCAAACATTGCCTGACCTGCCAGAATTTCAACTGTCATTAAGACCCGATGACTATCAGCTACCGGAAATGGACCCAGCTTGGGATGCCGAAAAGTGGGAAACAGAAGGCCAGACCCTGAAAGAGCATCTTAAAGATAGTGAAGATGAGACTGAAACTGAGTGATAGCACACCACAGGAGGAGGATAGCAAGTCTTGCTTTGGTTTACCTTTAATTACTTAACCATATCTATGTATATGCCTTATATATGAATGTGATGATATATGATAAGACATCATTTTTGCTTCCCTGCCTGCCTGCCTATTCCCAGGACTTTGGAAGTGTAAGTTGACTTTGAGTCAAAATATAAATTAGAAATTTGAAGATGGATATGCATGCACATTCATTATTATTATTGGCTTAAATTGAAAGGCTTATTATCACAAAACGTCCCTGACGTTTGCGAAATTATCACACTGCATCCCTAACGTTTTTTTGTATCATTAATGGTCCCTAACGTTAATACATGTACTCTTAAATAGTCCCTCTGTCAAAAAAACCGTTAAATCTAGGGGTATAATCGTCAAATCAATCCAAAATTATAATTTTTTTTTCCTTCCCTTCTCTCTCTCTCTCTGTTTCTCTTTTTTTTTTCTCCTCTCTTTCCTCCTCTTTTCTTCTTCTTTTCCTTCGCTGTTTCTTTTCTCTCCCTTTTTTTTTTCTTCTTTCCTTCTTTGTTCCTCATTTTTCTTCTTTCCTTCTTTCTCTTTTTTTTTTTCTTTTTTCTCTTTTTTCTTCCTCTTTCCTTCTCTCGGGGTGGTGATTTGGGTGGCTAGAATGTTGGGTTGGTGGGCTGTGGAATGGGGCAGGGAGAGAGTTGCAGAGAAAGTACATAGAGGGGCAGGGGTATAAGATCCCACGGTGGTGGTTATGGAGGTCGAGGTGGTGGTTTGGGTGGCTAGAGTAGATGGGTTGGTGGGCTGTGGGAGGGGGCAGGGAGAGAGTTGCAGACAGAGTAGAGAGAGGGGCAGGGATATAAGATCCCACGGTGGTGGCTTTGGTGGTCGGGGTGGTGGTTTGGGTGGCTAGAGTGGTCGGGGTGGTGGTTTGGTTTGGGTGGCTAGAGGAGACAGACAGACAGAGAGAGAGAGAGAGAGGGAGAGAGATCCAGAGATGTGATTTGGATTTTACAATAAATAAAAATGTCACAATTTGAGGTGCTGTTGAGAGCTCCTGCCCTTCAATGGGGTTTCTTTCTCTTCTGACCAATAAAGAGGCAAAGGAAAACCCTTGTCTCGTAGTCGGACCCTTTGATTTTGGGGATTTCCATTTCATTATACAACCAAAATACAAATAAAACAAGTTTCCCTTTTCTGAAACCCAAAACCTAATTATTTTTTACAAATAAATATAGGGATTAGGTTGGTGTAGTCGGGTTATTGGAATTTAAAATGTACAAGCTCACCAAGAGTAGAGTACAATAAATAAATTTCAAGTCTGCGACTGCGACCAATCCAAACCATTGTTTGTCAAAATTGAAATCCTATCCTATCAGAAGCACAACCACATGGGGACATGTTGCTTCTCTTCTCTTCTCTTCTCTTTTCTTCTCGTCTGTACTCTCCTCTCCTGTGTGTGTCGTGTTGAAAATGGATATTATGAAAGAGAAAGAATGCATGCATCGTTAATTTGGAATGACAATTGGGGTCCATCCATGCATCAATCAACCAACAATTGTGACATTTAAATGATTTTGAGCCTCCAATGGGAATGGAGCGCATTTCATGGCCAGCCGTTTACCTCCATTGGGAGAGCTCCCGCGACGAAAGGGATTAGTCACTGCTGTCGGCGGTGGATACCCTTGGATCTCACCTAAAAAAAAAAAAAATTGATTTTGAGCCATCTGCTCCACTCTTGTAAGCAAAACAGTTTTAGCACGCTTCTTATAAATGGAATATTCATTCTCATAAGCCTAACCCAACCCAGTATGGATGGAGAGGCCCAAAGATTATGATCCATCGGGCCATAGGCAGTTGGTTGGCGTGTACTGGCTGGCTGGCTGGCTGGGTCAACTCTCAATCTCAACTCATGATTTTGTTTATACGTTAATTTTGGGATTTCAACATCACACGTACATTATATAATATACGCGGTAAACTGGACTAAATAATTATTGCGTCTCGCGTGACCCAACCCAATAATAATTTCTAAAATTCCAATATAATATTGCCGTATGGTGGTGCGTAGACAAACAGAAAGAGATAGCTAAAAGCTAATTATGTAACTCTTTGTATATGGCATATGCCATATGCCAAGCAAGCAAGTATCATGTGTCCTGTGAAAACTTCCAAAGTTTTAAGTCACACAAATAAACAAATAAAGCCAAACGTTTGTTGTGATAATGACACATGCAGCATGCTCAATCTACAGAGACTTGTACAATGTGAATTGTGCAGGCAGGGAGAGGCAGATAAAATAAATAATTCAATTTCATTGTCTTAGTATAATATAGTATTACATATGATTGTGCATCCCATCAATCATGCATATGACACCTCCTTTCTTTACTGACATAATGAGGCTAGATTAGCCAACAGTCTAGTGTAAATAATCTGCACCTAGAGGAGACCACTCTGTTTTTTAATCAAAAAACTAAAATTGTTATTCTCAAAAATGTTTATAGACATATTTGTATTAGCCCAACTTAAATTCCTCTTACCAATAGAGCCTTAGTTGGATTGATTCAGCTTTTTAGTATGCTCCCAAGTCGTATTAGATTTAAATTCCTATAATACCCGTGTGTGTGTGTTTTCTTTTCTCCCTCTTTCTAATTTTGACAACAACAATAACAAAGAAAATTTAATTTCCCTTAAAAATAAAAGAAAAATAACTTAACTTGAATTTATATTTATAGTCTACTTCTCCTTGACTCAGTTGGTCGAAAACAACGTCATTCGCGGCCCTAATTTCTGTCAAACTCACAAGACTTATCTTTTGTGGCTTACAACTGCGAAGACCATCACTTTCTTAATTGCCTTCACGCTTCAACTTATTTGGTTCAGTTCCAGTGCAAAAAAACAAAAAACAAAAAAAAGAGAAAAAAAAGAAAGCAAAATTTAAACTTAAAATGACGTTGGCTAGACCATGGGTACAATACAAGAAGGGTATATGTGGGCGACATAAGATTGACCAATGATTTCAGTGTAACCCAAAAAATATAAATTAGTTTTGAACAGTTCAGAGGCAGCCCCCGCCTCCCAAAGCTTGGAAGGATTTAGCCCATGACATAAGCTAGCAACAGCATCAGCCGTGAAATTAGTATCACAGAATACATGACTGAAAGAGCAGGAATCACAGAAGGAGCCGATAAGCACTATATCTTTAATCAAGAGGTTGATACTCCACGAGGCCAGAGCTTTTTGATTAACGCAATCAATAATAAGTTTAGAATCTTTTTCAACAAGAACTTTGCGCCATCCTCAATGAGCCGCATAAGCGAGGCCATCTCCCAAAGCAATACATTCCGCCATAGAAATGGTATTGTCACTAATGTTCTTAGCACAAGCCAGTAAAATGTGACCATTAGAATCTTGAATAACAAATCTAGTAAAATATAAATTAGTTGTTCAACTTGTTCTGCATTCATATGGAAATATGATATTTTAGTTGTTTCATAAATATTGTTTGTTGGAAGATAAAAATGTTTGAATAGTATAGTAAACATATTTCACTGCTGTCGGCGGTGAATACCCTTGAATCTCACCTTAAA